GGTGCTGCCCCGCTGCGGAGTGACGACAGCGCGTACGCCGAGCGTCGCCGCCGCTCTAGTCTCACGGCCGGAACCATCGTCTTCTCGCTGGTCCTGTGCCCTCCGCGGCTTTGCTGATTGTTCCGCTTGGTGAGGATTTCGGGCTGCCGCGTTTTCCACTCAAACGCCAAGAAGACGACGTGGAGATGGGCGAATAGGGAAGGGGTGGAAGGGGTTAAAGGGGTCTTGTGGGCCTCCAATGACCTGTGAGCCCCGTGCCTTTAGTTTTCCCGGCTGAAAGCCCCAAGTTTAGACACCTTGAGTGCCTAAGAAGACGGACCGGGAGCTGCGCCCGTTAGAGGGACGTGGAAGGCGGACTTAGAAGACTAATGTTGTCAAAAGATGTTTTTTTTTTTTTTCCCTGACGTCGTTGTGGGAAATTAGTGGCATTAGGTACAAAACAGGGTGTAATAGGGTTTAAAAGCACAGCTTGGAATTAACTATTTTTCGTGCAAGCTTGAAACCAGATGTGGAAGGCCTCTCATTCCTAATGCGAGGAGGTCGTAGCGTGTGTTGGTGAGGGTGATAGTAAAAATGGTACTTTTAGCGTTAGGCTTTCACGTGTATTTTTTCGTGGGGCACCTACTAGCAACTAAAAAGTAGAAGATTGTGGAAATAAGATACAGAAGTAGACACGTGCGTGGTGGAAAGAGAGCTTGGCGTCCTGAAACCCCTGGGTTGGGATCACTGACTTAACTGCTGGATAGTGGGACTTTGGAATAGTTGAGTCTCAACTTCCTTATCTATAAAATAGGGATAATACTGGCCAGGTTATTGCTAGGAATAAAAGATCCTGTACATACTACCTGTTATACATAAATTTAAATCGGGGACTTCAATCTGCCCAAAGATTGTAGATCAGTCTTAAGACGGTCAAAAGGATCTTTTGAGAATTGTGGTATGTAACGTATTAGCTAGTCAAAATCATTTTTTCACAGCAGCAATTCAAAAGTATTTGCCCAGGTACTTTTAATAGAGAATTCTAAAGATAATTCTAAAGGTTATGATGGGACCATCCATCAAATTTCAGTGTCTTCAAGGGAAGCTTGGAGAGTAGCCTCTGCTACTCTCTCAAGACTGTTGTACATCTGTAACATAGTATGCATATAATGTATGCATACATTATAATCATAACACTACATCTTTATAGCATTCAATAAAACTGACTAAATAATTGTCTAAAATGTTAGTCTCCCTCTCTATATACTTTATGAGGGCAGGAAACGCTGTCTTCACAGCTCAATTTCTAGCATACACAGTTAATGTCTGGCAGATACATAAGAAACAGTCAAATAATTGTTGACCTGAAAGAACATGCCTTACCACCTGGATGATTTAAGATAGTTTCTCAGAGGAGAGAACCTGGGAGCTGAGGCTGAAGAAAAGATTCACCTGTGAGACCAAGAAGGAAATTGTAAACAAAAGAATGTAAAGACAAAAAGGAACAAATGGGCGATCCCATACCAGAGACTAGCAAATACTTTTTATGAGTAAACCTGGAGAGTAGTAGGAGGTCAGGCTGGGGACAATAAAGAACTTTAGGCAGAGAAGCAAATGTTGAGATTTGACTTTTAGAAATATCCCTTCCGACTACAGTGTGGAAAGTGGAATCAATTTGATTTGTTGAAGAGGCTATTGCAATGTCCCAAACAGTAAATAATAATGACCTCAATAAACAATGGGAACGGGTAAGAGGGAATGGTAATTAAAGTTTATTAAACATAATGTGACAGACACTGTGATAGATATATTACTCCCATTTAAATTTTAACAATATTATAATAGAGATACCATTCTTGTTTCACATATGGAAAAATCAGCTGAGGTTAGGTAATTTATCCAAAGGTTTATAGTTCATGGGTACTTGAACTTAGATCTGGTTAATCCTAAAGCCTTATTCTTTTTACTACCCCATACTGAGAATGGGCTAGGTCTGAGAGAAATTTAGTAGTGTATTTTATAGAACTCAGTAGCTGTTTGTAAGAGATGGAGGGAGGAGTCATGGAAACTAGCATTTAGATTTCTGACATAGGTGATTTTAGGTTTTGCCACTAGTGAAATAAAAAATGAGGAATACAGATGAAAAGCCAGATGGAAAAATAAGGAGCAGGTTTATAGATTTAGTTTTATCTTTATGGGATAAGAAATGACCAAAGTGAGTTTGTTATATTAAATTTGAAGTGTCTGCAAAACAACCAGAGAAGTCCAGTAAAAATGGGATCTGTAGCTTGAGAGAGAAGGGCCCAGAGGAGGAGACACAGAAATATATACATATAGGTAGTATATAGGTAGTTGAGCCAGTGATCTAAATGAAATTATTCATGGGTGTTTATTTCATGGATTTCATGGAATTATTTAAAAGTAATTAACTAGGACTAGGGAATAAAGGGCATTTTCTCAACTGGATAAAGAGCATCTATAAAAAACTATAGCTAACATCATAATTAATAGTGAAATACTAATGCATTCCCCCCTACATTCAGGAACAAGGCAAGGGTGTCTGTTCTCACCCCTCTGTGCAACATTGTACTGGAGTTTGTAACCAGTACAATAAGAAAAAGAAATTAAATGCACCCAGATTTGAAAAAAAAAAAAAAAGAATTTATTTGCAGACAACATGATTGTTATGTAGAAAATCTGATGGATTCTACAAAATAGTTACTAGAACTGATAAGTAAGCTTTGCAAGGTTTCAAGATGCAAGATTAACATGGAAAAAATAGTATTTCTAAGTACTAGCAATAAGCAATTGGAAATTGAAATTTAAAATAACAGCACAATTTCAATAGCATTAATTATTAAATACTGAAGAATAAATCTGACACATGTAAGACTTACTTGCACACTGAAAACTACAAAATATTACTGAGACATTAAAGAAGACAATATTTTAAAATATAGAGGTACTGTGTTTAAGACTCAGACTCAATTTTGTTAAAATTTGTCACTTTTACCCCAAACTGATGTGTTGATTCAACACAATCCCAGTCAAAATCTTAGTGTGCTCTCTCTCTCTCTCTCCTTTTTTTTGGCAGAAAATGACAATTTAAAAATAGGCTCGGCCAGGGGAAGTGGCTCACACATGTAATCCCAACACTTTGGGATGCCAATGCAGGCGAATTGCTTGAGCTTAGGAGTTTGAGACCAGCCTGAGCAACATGGTGAAACCCCATCTCTACAAAACATGCAAAAGTAGCCATGGTGGCTTGTGCATGTGGTCGCAGCTACTTGGGAGGCTAAGGTAGGTGGATCACTTGAGACCAGGAGGTCGAGGTTGCAGTGAGCCATGATAGCACCACTGCACTCCAGCCTGGGCAACAGAGCAAGACCCTGTCTCAGAAAAAATAAATAAGTAACGTGAATTTTACAAAATAAAAATAGACTAAAGATTTGAACAAGCACTTAACTGAAAAACGATATACTGACTGCAACTGAGCACATAAAAAAATGTTCAACATCTTTGGTAATTAGGACAATACAAATTAAAACCACAATAAGATACTACTACACACCTGTTAGAATCTAGCCTGAAATTAAAAAGACCATTCTGAAGTGTTGGCAAGGGTGTGGAGCAACTGAAACCTTCATACACTGTTGCTAGGAATGTAAAATGGTAAGCCATTTCAAAAAACAGTATGACAATTTCTTAAAATTTAAGCAGACACCTACCATATGACCCAGTCATTCTACTCCTAGATGTTTACCTAAGAAAACGTGTTCATGCAAATACTTAGACACTACTATTCAGTGGTTTATTTGAAATCCAAAAATTGGAAACAAATTCCATCAAGAAATAAATAGATTTAAAAATTGTGGGATATTCATACAAATATTTTTCAGCAATATAAAGGACTCAGTATATGCAATACCATGGATAAATCTCACAAATAATTATGCTAAATGAAATAAGCCAGATTCCCTACTCCCACAAAAAAGTATGTACTATATGCTTCTATTTTTATAAAATTCTAGAAAAAATAAACTATAGTTAAAGAAGTAGTAAGGTAGTAGTTAAAAGAAGTGATAGTGGTTGTCGGGTAATAAGGAGGTGGGTCAGAAAGGAGGTATTATAAAGCAGAGTGAGGAAATCTGGGGAGTGGTGGATATTATAGGTGAATTATGTCCTTCCTCCTCCCAAAATTCACTGAGATTCTAACTCCTAGAAGCTGTCAGTGTGGCCTTATTTGGAAATAGGGTCTTTGCAAATTTAATCAAGTCAAGATCAGGTCATTAGGATAAGCCCTATTCCAATATTACTGTTGTCCTTATAAGAAAAGGCCATGTGAAGACACAGACATGGGGAGAATGCCAAGGGAAGATGGAGGTAGAGACTGGAGCAATGCATCTGCAAACCAGAGAACATGTAGGATCACAGGCCTTCACCAGAAGCTAGTAGAGGCACATGGAACAGATTGTCCCTCAAGACCCTCCGAAGGACTCTCTCTTGCTGACACCCTGATTTTGAGCTTCTAGCCTTCAGAACTGATAGAGAATACATTCTGTTGTTTTAAGCCAACTAGTTTGTAGTACTTTTTTATAGCAACCCTAGGATATAAATACAATGGTTATAGTCATTATCTTGATGTCATAGTTTCATGGAAACATATATATGTCAAAACATATCAAATTAAGTTATTAAGGTATGCTAATTATACCTTAATAAAATTCCTCAAATTTAATTAATTAAAATAAAGGAGGGTTGTGCATAGAATAATGATGATAGTGTGTTATGACCAATAGTATGGATTAATCCAATTCT